TCTTTAGATGAAATATTTCTTATTGTATCTTCAATAACGGAGTATACGTCTTCATGCAGTTTAAGTTTCAGAGTTTGATATTTTATGCTATATAGCAATATTAGAGTATAAAATATAGTTACCACCTTGTATACATAGTAAATTTATTATTATTTTATTGATGATTTTTATTTGTAATCGTAATAAATTTGATTCTAGAAACAAAAATGAGAGATCGTGAAAAGTTATTGGCCAAGTTGGCTTTCGACAAAAATGTAGACGACAAATTTGGAAAAAAGTTGAACTCAAAGAAAAATGTAGCGAGTCAACAGCAAGAGCTCTTTTGGTAATAACAGGAATGATCTTAAAAATGAGAATTGGTTCTTTCTACTACAAGCATGCGTAGTTAAATTATTTTATGGTTGAAGGTTATTATTATTACCACTTTAATATTTGTCCATTGCAATAAAAATTATTCTTTATCTTTATATACTTATAGTTATTTACATTTTTTGTAGGTTGTCTAAAGGTTTCGTCCCTGAAAAATAAAAAACCTTGTTCACCGACCCATCAACTCATCTATCCAACACCGAACTATTCTGATAATACTGGAGTCTACAATAAAAGTTAGTATCTTCAGATTTTTTTACAGAAAAATTATGATTTTTAAGTTCAGTACCAGAAAAAATAATAAACCTTCTATTTGTAATTTATTATTACTTAATTATTTTTGCGGTCACGTTAATCCACCGTCCATTAATACATTGGACGACAATACTAATTATGTTCAGGTAGCAACTTTTCATCAACAACTTCAGAAGATATTACTACTGGGGAGTCCAATTATACTCCATAAGTAAATGACGCTTAATCATCAAATTCATCCGAATCGCAAGTACCCTTATCATCTATAGTGTATTTTTATGTATGAGAGAGTAATAAAACAATAAATTATGTATGCAAATCCCTAAACTGTTGATACGGGTGACTCAATGAAAAACAGATATTTGTCAACAAGTTTACAGAAATATATAGGAAAACAATTTTAAATTGAGTATGACCACCAGGTATAAAGGTTGGAGCAGAATAGAATACAATAGTTGTGAGGGTTACTAATCCCTAAATAAGGTTGCCAGTGTCAAAGTGATGGAGGTTAACAGGTACTAATGAATTTGCAAGAAATGTAAGATGTTTATTTTATTGGTTATATATAACCAATTAAAGTTTAATAAGTACCTACCTATTTGCAAAATAAAGTTTAATTCTTTAGATAAAATAAAACGTTTTATTTTATCTGAAATGAGTGCATTCCACGAAGTAAGGGTTTCAACAATCAAACATTTAATTCTTTAATTCCAGGAATCTACGACAGTAATTGACTAGATAATTACCTTCTAAACTTATTCCACAGAAAATGTGATAGTGGGTTTTTCCATTTTGTAGGAAGGTCCAAGTGGCGTATTCAAAATTCTTAACAGTTCACTAAAAGTAGGTACTTCAGTTGCAAGGTGCAGTTTATTGTGTATACTAGTGTTATGGAAAATTTGGAAGTGCCGTGTAAACGCCGAAAAATTGGTCCTTTAACAGTTAATGAAAAAACATTAATATTTAATTGTTTTAAATCATTTACAGACAAACGTTTATGTGAAAGTGTTGATGAGACCGTTGAGTTAGTTAGCAGTACACTTGGTGTTGGGAAATCTACGATATACAGAGTTATTAAAGAAGAGAAATGTGGTAGTTTTCAAATGCCACGTAATGCTCCAGGGAAACCAAAATTTCAAATAGAATATTATTTTAAAGAAGGACTTCGACGGAAAGTGCATGAATTCTTCTTTAGACAAGAATTTCCAACATTGGATAAAGTTCTTGTCTCAGTTCAAGATGATAAGGATTACCCAGAAATGAGTCGAAGTACGTTATGAAAACTTTTAAAAGAAATAGGCTTCCGCTGGAAAAAGAATCCCAGAAAGTCTATTTTATTAGAAAGAAGCGATATTGTCATATGGAGAAGACATTTTCTAAGAACCATAAAGGAAATGAGAAACCAAAAAAGAAAAATATTTTATCTTGATGAAACATGGATCAACGAGGGTCATACACCAAATAAATTTTGGCAGGATGAAACTATTACAAGTCAAAGGCACGCTTTTGTAAATAACTTATCTACTGGTTTAAACCCACCATCAGGAAAGAGACACAGGCTGATAATAGTACACATTGGCAGTTCAGACGGTTTTGTTGAAGGTGTTTTATTAACTTTTGAATCAACTCGTACCGGTGACTACCATGAAGACATGAACGCTGATGTCTTTCAAGAATGGTTCGAACAAATGATAGATCTTCTTCCTAAGAACTGTGTAATAGTAATGGATAATGCAAGTTATCACTCCAGACTTATAGAAGGACTGCCCACAACCAAGTGGTTAAAAAAAGACTTGCAGAATTGGCTGAGTTTAAAAAATATTACGTACCATCCCGGATCTATAAGAAAGGAACTTTATTCGTTGTGTGCCCTTCATAAAGAATAATTTTAAAAATACGAAATTGATGAAATTGCCAAAAATCGTGGAACGACAGTACTTAGATCCCCACTATATCATTGTGAATTAAACCCGATTGAACTGGTATGGGCACAGATAAAGAGTGAAGTTTCAAGAAAAAATACCACTTTTAAAATTCATGATGTTAAACAGTTGTTTTTGGAGGCCATAAATAATGTAAAACCTGAAAACTGGGAAAAGGCAGTAAATCACACTATTAAAGAAGAGGAAAAAATGTGGAAGCTGGACAATATTACTGATAAAATGATTGAGCCAGTTATTATAAATCTTGGTTCTGAAAGTTCATCTTCTGAATCTGATTTGGATTTGTAACAAGTAGCTGTAAGTTTTATATTAATATTTTTATTCATCTATTTAACATACCTTAGACAGTTTTAAAAACTCTTTTTCTCTTTTGTAATTTTTAAAAATTAAAAAAATGTGAATTTTTTAAAACCCTTTTTAATGTAGGCCAGTCAGTTCTAATATAGTGTGTGATAAAAGAGGTCACTTTTGTTTACATACACATAACACTTTATAACACTGAAATAATTCATTTATTTTTTACAATTATTCAAAGTAATTTTTCAATTAATCTTGAGCACGCCCATGGAGTGGTCGAAGGTACCAGTTAAAATTATGCTAATTACTCTCTCGTTCATAAAAATAAACTATAGTATTAGCAATAGATTATACGAAGATAAAGAAAATACCACAGAAATTAATAAGAAAAAATAAAGGTGATAAATCAAACTGGAAGAAAAATTTGGCGAAAAAGTTAAACAACCAGAAAAAGCATACGTATCTTCTACTACTAACAAACTTATGAAAGAAAGAAATATGGACCCTCCGTGCAAAAATACTTGTAGGCTTAAATACTACTTATGAATATAAAATGAAACAAGAGAACGAATTTTTCAAGAATACTGGAGTCTTGGAGATAATAATAAACAGCGCAACTTTAAATGTTCATGTATTGTTACCATCAAACCCAAATATCAGTACCATGTTCATGAAAATAAACTTCGGGATAATATCGGATTTTATTTCACTTTCAATGAGACTAGAATTGATTGAAGTTGTTCGGAAATACGAATTTATATATAATTTAAAGCATCCGAAATATATGGATAGTGTCAAAAAAAAAAACATTGTTTGGAAGGAAATTGGAGAGCAACTAAAACAATCCGGTAAGTTGTTTTATTATTTATTTTCGCATATTTAATACTGTAAAGTTAAGTAATATTAAGTGTTAATTATGTTATTTAAGAACAGAAAATCCCAGTTGAGACTATTAAATAAATTAACTTATACTGATTTCAGGATAAAAATGATAAAAAAATTAAAAAATCAGAAGATACATACTTAAAAAATTGAAAAGCTATTTTTTTTCGATGTAATGTCATGTATAATTACTTTCTTTATTTGAGCCAGTCTAATTGTCCTTCTGGTGTTTGGAAGTAATCTGCGAATTGGTTGCGTACATCAAAAGCCGAGGAAATTGCATTACCCCCTTGACGTCGCAGGTGGTTGAATTGTACAGGATTAGTTGTCTCCTGGAAGGTTATAGTTTCTCCGCGTCTTATATAATTATACAAAATACAAGTTGATAAAACAATCTTTTCCGCATACTCTGGCTTTAAATGCATCCGTCTATTATAAATCCGAAATTTTTGACTTAAAATTCCAAAAGCATTTTCGACTACTCGCAGAGCTTGGCAAAGGCGATAATTAAATTGGCGTTTCTTAAGATCCGTTACTGATTGCTGTGAAGGATAAGGTCTTAACAGATTGTTTTTTAAAGGAAAAGCTTCGTCTCCTAATATAACACATGGCATCTTGACCATCGACCCAGGAAGATTTTTATCATCGGGAATATTGAATTTATTTTTTAATATAGCTTGTCCCATTTTTGATTTCGACAAAATACCACCATCACTATCTTTACCGAAAGCGCCTACATTAACGGCAATCAAGTTATAATTTGCGTCAACCAAAGCCAAAAGTACTATCGAAAATGTCTTTTTATAATTAAAATATAGGGAACCACTATTTGGAGGTGCTAGAATCACAACATGTTCCCGTCAAGAGCACCACAGCAATTGGGGAAATTCCACTTATTCCAAAATTCTTCAATATTTTTTTCCCATTGCTCTGTGGTGGGCATGGGAATCATTTCTCGTAACATTGTGTCGAGTATAGCTTCACAAACTGCACGTCTAACGGAGCTTATTCCCATACGAAAACTAAAAGCGATTGAAGTAAACGAATCACCAGTCGCTAAGTACCTGTAATGAAGATAAGTATTATAACTAAATGAGCACAAATTAATTAATTTGAAATTTTGTTTTACAGCTGTTGCTTGCAAACAAAGATGGCAAAGCCTGAGAGATGCGTACAGGAGAGCTGTAAATAAAAAAAAAAGGAAAAAGCGGACAAGCAGCCAGAAATATTAAACCATGGAAATATGAAAATGAAATGGCGTTTGTGACTCCCTTTTTTATGGAAAGAAAAATTCAAGATTCCCTCGATATTATGATAAGCGATGATAAAATATCTGACAATGCCGACGAAAACCAGGTGAACGAATTCACCGCTTCGGAAAATCCGACTACCGACGTTGAGGCCGACATTACACCTGCTGAAGTAAGTCATGCGAACAATACTATAATATCAAATGAAACTTCAAGCGAATCACAACAAATAAACTATAAAAAGAAACAAAAAGCTGTCAAGAGAAAAGCCTGCCGATCGGAGCCATCAACATCTGCCATATTAATGGCAAAATTGCTGGATGACCAAAATAAACTAGAGCCACCTCGAAAACATGACGAGTTAGATCGCTTTTTCTTAAACATTTCTGATACCGTTAAGAAGTTCTCACCGTATGTGCAAGCACTAGCAAAAATAAGATATTTTCTATAGTGTCTGAAATGGAATTACATTATCTTGCTCCACCTAGTTTATCTTCAACTCCATACGCCTTTGATCCATCCCGCAATCAGCAAGTACTAGTACAACGCCAATGCCGACAAGTCCTAACAACTGGAATGATCAGTCACAACATTTTTTTCCATAAATTTAATACACTTGTATTTACAAATTAAACGAATATAATTATTGCTGTATTTTACTCACTTTAGACACACTGCTAGTTTTTCTCTTGGTGTAAGACTTTCTCTAAATGTGGTATTGCTTCTAGTTATAATATTTTCGGTATTTCCCAATAATTCATTAAATTGAAATGATGTCATACGAAAATACATATAAAATTTTTCTTCGTCATCAACTAGGTGCCTGAATAAGGTCCAGTATTCTCCTTCGACTTTCCTTTTTTTTTTTAAAGCGGCGTGGACCCAGTAACGTCGTGATCGATTGATATTATTGTTTTCTCTTTCTTCTTCATCAAAAGCAATGGCTATCATTGCTAATTCTGCCCTGGACAATTTTTTAATAGCCATCGTACAGGTATAGGAAATTATTTTAACAAAAATATTCACCCGCCCTTTCCGACGTCTGTCTCACGCGAAAACACAAGTTTCACTATTCTACACTATTCTCACAATAGGAAGAACTACTATCAGAGAACGGGGACCCTACGGATATGATACGCGGATGCTACGGTCACTATAACAGTTACAGATAGGTATCATACGCTGTTGATACGTTCTAGTGGGCATAGTAGACCGTATCGTGTTTTTTTTTCGTTCCTGTTACGTTCATAGCACAGTCATGGTATGAAACGGTGTAATGGGCAAAGACCATAAGAGACATGAAATTGAATAAAAAGACCTTAAGTTTTTAGCGAGAATTTTATTATACAACTGATTAGCTTATTTTCTTGATAGCTATAAATATACCGGGTGGAACCTCCGGTAACTCGATTTCCGTGCACCCAGCCCAATATCCAAGAAAAACTTTTTGTCTTGTAAATATGTGAAAAATTATCAGGAACAGGAATATCGAAAAAGCTTTGCATATTTTTTAATCCCGGCGATGTTATTAAAAAACAAGTTGCGCGCTTGAATCACTGCGAAATTTTAACACCTACTATGAAATTTTTTTTTTGGAAATCTGAAGTGCAGTTTTTGTCCTTGTTAAAACATAATGCAGTCTCGCATTTTTTACACACAACATAAGTTTACCTAGTTCCTTGGCATAGCAACCTGGCAGTTTTCAGCGAAACCTTGTGTTATTCCATATGGGATAATGGTTTTCCTTGCCCACAATTGACCAGATGAGCAGGTATAAGGTTTATAGTGTAAGTTATTTAAAATTATATTATATTTATACTTTATTAAACTAACAAATATATTTTAAATTACATTTCTTGATAGCTATAAATATACAAGGTGGAACCTCCGTGAACTCGATTTTCGTGCACTCAGCCCAATATCCGAAAAGCCCATACTCTGATTGGACTGGTAAATGCATTTTATTGGTTATACAGTGTAAAATAATCAAGGTTACTCACATATATTCAATTAATTATACTAAATTCGTCCTCTACATCCGAGATGTCGGATTTGCTTTCACTACTCTCCCCTGTGTTCGCGTGTATTATCAATTGGTCTACGTCATCTTGCAGGTTGTCCGCAGTCCACATCTCAGTTTCCGTTTTCTCAACAACATAAGTGATATAATTGCGCCAGTTTTGCTCTGTGACGCGTGCGAAACCGTCGTCGATCAACTGGCGTACCTCGTCGTTTTTAAAAGTGGTATTATGAGTACCTACATATCGCTTAACTTGGTTCCACACCATTTCTATAGGATTCAATTCGCAGTGATATGGAGGAAGCCTTAAAATATAAACATTATGTTGTGAAGCATACTCATCAAGATGATACTTATCGTATTGATCTTTAAAAGCACGCGCTGCTTCTAATAGCTCGGATTTCAAATAACACTCCTAGAAAAAAAATGACTTTTTGCACTAGCCATTCCTTGATTGCAGCTTTATTCCAGGAATTGTTAGGGAATCTCTCTTTACGGGAGTGGTACAATGCATTGTCCATTACAATGACATTCCTGCGACCATTATTTGGTAAATTTGATATTAATGTCTCCTTAAACCACGACTCTTAATATGCGGCATCCATTTCATCGTGATAGTCGCCATCATTTTTCTTTGCCAGAAAAACACGCTGTGTGCCAGGAAGGAAACCTCCTGAAAAACCTGCTTGCAATAAAACATATCGTGGACCTCGTTTAGTAGATGCTTTTAAGCCAGTACTTAAACCTTTGAAAAAAGCATCACGACTGTTTTGTATCGTAGCATCGCACCATTCGTAATTTATAGATTGGCCAACATTAACCCACGATTCGTCCAAATATATGATATTGCAATAGTCTTTTCGCAAACGTCGTACAGTTCTCAAATAATTATGGCGCCAATGAATAATATCCTCTCGCTCCACCATGATGCTTTTTCGGCCACGTTTCTTATAAACAAATCCAATATCTTTCAGAAGTCGTTATAGTCGTAAATACATAGAAAGTAACAAATCGCTTACCGATTTGTATCGCGATTATGTCGAGGAATGCAAACAAAAGAACATTCCTTATGGAAAGTATCTTATTTATCACCAAGTTTTTCACAACAACTTTAATATTTCTTTCTTCACTCCTAAAAAGGATCAACGTTTGTTGTGTGTTTCCTATGATAATGCCTCAGACACTCAAAAAGAGGAACTGAGAACCAAATATGAAAATCATATTATGGAAAAGGATTTGTCACGATGGATAAAAAAAAACAATTATGTAGTCGCTCTGTTTGATTTACAAGCTGCTTTGCCATGGCCCAAGGGAAATGTGTCTGTTTTCTACTACAAGTCTAAATGAAATGTTTTGAATTTTACCATCTATGAAATGAAAGAAAACGCAAATTTAGATGAATATTTCTGTTATGTCTGGGATGAGACAAATAATAATGGCAAAATAGGAGCAAATGAGATAGGGTCTTGATTGCTAAGCTATATAGAGTATATATATATATATATATATATATATATATATATATATATATATATATATATAGTTTGAATTTAGTTCTTGAACCTTAATATATATTTTTTAGTGGATTCTCTTGGGCTTAGGTTCATAAAAAAAATTTAGTTTGATACTAAGACATTTTTATATATTTGTTTCGACGTTTCGGCAGGAAATCCATGCCATTTTCAAGAATATATATTGACAAGCATGTAAATATTAGGTATTAACAATTAGACGTCACAATTAAAATAATATTAAAACATAGGACATACCCACTAAGTCACTACAAGTAAAAATGTTTTTTGTGTGATTTGTTCAGGGAATTTTAAGTAGTCTTCTAAAAACCCACATTTCATAAGCCTCCAATCGGTTCATCACATTGGCTTTTATGGTCCAGGTTTTTACACCATATAGCAGTATGGAGTAAATGTAACATATTACAAAGCGATATCGAAGCGTTAAGTTGAGGCTGCTGTTGCTTAGCAAGGTTCTCATATTAGTAAATGCTGTTCTGGCTTGCTCAATCCTGCTACGTATCTCTATGTCTGGATCTAGATCTTCAGTTATCCAACTACCGAGATATCTGAACTTGGGGACCTTTTGACTGTTCTTGTTGTCATCAAACCATAATAAAAGCTTTTAATTTGTTTGCAAAGTTAAATTAATATAATCAATTAAAAAAACTAATAAACCAATGTTGATTTTTGAGTTACGATGTTCTTCTATAAATGGAACGATATAATTACGACTATACAAAATGAACTATTCGAATTACTATTATGTTCCACGCATAAAATTTCTTCAAAATTAAATTAGAATAGAAATAAAACTTCTAGACATTAATAACTTATTTTGTTACTATCGAGATAATTATACCTTGAAAATAACAATTTGTATACAAATTGATTTACAAAATATAATAAATTATACATTATATATACCTGTTACAGTAATTACTGTTTTTATTACACCAATTACAATTATAGCAATTTTCAGAAAAGAATAACCTAGAAATCTTACGCGATAGTATGTTTGCATTTTATAAGAATTATCTATCAATCATATCAAAATATCAAATTCATAGAATGAACAAATTGATACATCGAATATTCCGTCAAACATTTTCTTTAAAAAACTATAACTGCTAAGAAAATTACGTACAAATTGTCTAATTATAGTATATCATTACAATTATTTTCTCTATTTCTATACAGCGTTGGCTTCCCTAATTACATATTCCTATAAGTTTTAACTTATAGGAACATAGACATATACCTTACAGATGACAATCCTGTCGCATTATGTTTCCTTTGACATGTCTCTTCAAATGCTTTCAGCAACTTGCATCTCAGCGATTTCTGTTATCATAGGATTATCATTTCGTCATTGAACGTGCTTTAAACATACGAGTGATTTCTGATTTTACCATCAGTGTTCTATATAGCAACTTTCTATAATAAACTCATTCTGAATTTACTTTTTTGAAGTGAAGCTTCTGTACTGCCGTTGTATTACTCTTTTTTCTCTATAGTAAAATGCTGACGCGAGTGTCACAAAACTAGCGCCACAAGACGGCGTCATCACAAGTAGCGTCATATAATAACGGTTCTTGACATCGATTCACTACTCTCGATCAATTCGTTTTTAATCATCTAATTTATGTTTTCTTGAAATTGAAGATTAATATTTAGAATTTAAAATTCATATAATTCGAGGTCGGAACCCTCTAAACTGAAAATTGACGTTTTTTTGGTCACGGGGTATCCTCAAGATGATGTCTTCTGTCTTTTCTACTGCAAGTTTTAGGTAATTTCTCTCTATCCATCTGGCAGTTTTTTTTATTGCTTCATTTACTTTGTTTATAATGCCACAATTAATATTTTTTATAAGTAGGGTTTTTTTATAAGTACTTCTTGTGTTTTGTTTACTTCTAG